ATTATTGAAACTTATTATTATTTAAAGTTATAGACGCGGAGAAGTTTAGAATTATTGATTTTGACTGCATGTTCTTGGTAATACGGATATTTAAGGCAATTTTCAACCTCTGAACCGTGGCTCGTTATTCGCATTAAAAACAATCACATGCACAGTTGAAACTGGTGCTAGAAAGAGAACTGCAGCTTTTAATGGACGCTGCATTTAGTACAAAATGGTTTGTTCAGACAATTAAAGTTTGAAAATGATTTAAAGCATTTCTAAATTTTGGCTAAAGGTGATTTTGGATCATTTCTGATAACACATAGACGCAACTCTGTTCATTGGTTGAAAACACGGATGTTAGGGACATTTTATGAAATCTTTTATGACATGTTTCTCTTCCAAATAGCTATATTTAGAAACAATTTGGACAATTATGTTTTGATATAACTGTTGGCCTGTTCATCTGTGACATGATTGGTGCAAGTACAACAACACACATAAACAATGGTCTTTTCTCCACATGAACGTGAAACAAAGGTGAAGTATTAAAGTTTGAAACTAATTTACATTTTTAAGGAATCCGAACTGGCTTTAAAAAAAAAAGGGAAAAACATTTATTGCACGTGCATGAGTTTTTTTAAGTAACAAGAGCTCATTAAAAATTTAGGGGACACAGTCTGTGATAAGCCCGAGTACAGACCACGTGGTTTAAACACTAAAAGTTTGAAATGGATCCTTTTAGGAAAAATCTCTCAAAGCTCTGCATGTTCTGCAGGCTCTGAAAGTTGCAACAATAGAAATAGCTCATGAGACAATTGTAATTGGACATGGAAAAATATAACAAAGTTAAAATTACAGGCCTTCTGTGTTTTGTGTGTATATGTTTGTGTATGTTATATGTTTGTGTATGTTATATGTTTGTGCGTCATGTCAAGTACACTACGTTGACCTTAACAAACTGGACCAATATACTAACGTGGGGGCCCTGTGTGAGTGATGCGAGTGTGTTGTGTGGGAGTGAACGAGGAGTGCTGAACGGGAATCATGGAATAACAAAAGTTTTCTGTAATGTTTTAATGTGATCATGGAATAATTATTTTTTGTCAACAGCATACGGTGTAAGTACTAGAGATTCAAAGATAACAAGCTTTATTGAACAGGTGTAAAAGTGAGAGTACTCTGGGATGAGTACTCTGAGAAAAGTACTCTGAGAAAGTACTCTGAGATGAAATACCTTGCTGAAGGTACTGGGAGTCCCTCCCTCTGCTGTTTGTCCTGACAGTGATTCGGTCCAACCGCAGTGAGCGGTCGTGGGTTGAAGGACAACTTTGGTTTGTAACTCACATTTAGGGGAGTATAAAATTAGAAACATACATATTGTTAAGTCTGTATTTGGCTACAGCCTCTGCCCTGATGTCACACACCGTCTGTCAATGTAGTTATGTTTTGCCCAATTGGATTGATTGACAGGCCGCACCATGCGAAGAGAGGGAAGTGGGCATTCCTTGTGTTCTAATGTTTGTTTTTCAGATGAAAGATAAACTGCACCTGCTGCAGGGATGACAGTAGTATGAATCATAAGGAAATGAGCCTCTACTTTGGCACCAAAGCCCACAATATGAATTGAGGACGATCCGGGAGGAACAACTGGAGAGGATTGGAACAGTAATCTACACACACACAGATGCATGTTTTATACTTTGGACCACGACCAACAGAGGGGAGTATTGTAATGTTATTGTCATAGGTGGTCATGGTCCTTAACCTTCTAAATCATTAGAAAGAAGTGTAAAACATATATTTACAAGAACAAATAAATAATAGAAAGGGCAGCCTAAAAAAGCAAAATGGGAAAATTATTAAGTAATTTTCGGAGTTGCCAAAATGAAATAAAATTCTATATTTGTCCCATAGGGGGTCATTCTAAATTTAGTGTTGTGCAAATTCAAAAGGAGAAATAATAGCGCTTATAACATCAAACAGATCTACTCTTTAAGATAATAGATCATATAATAATAAGATAATAATAGAATAGAATGAAATAGTCTGGAGCTATAATGTCATTGGATTCGAGGAGCTATAGGTTGAAAGGTCGCTAAGAAGAGGTGTCAGAATAAACAATAGTAATAATAGTTAGACTAGTGAATAATCAAAATAGTTCTATTGTGGAAATAAGTATCAATAAGGTCAAATTGTTCTAATAACTAAAGTAAAAAGGAATCAAATGGAGTCAGATTTTAGATGTTTCTGTTTTCCACATCTGTAGGAACTAGTGCAGATGTGTTTATAGAGAGTAGTATTAAAATGCAGACATAGAACAACAGGCTTTAACACAATTTTAAATCTAAAAATAGCTCAAATATAACATTGCTCTTGACGCAGCCTCTGAGCTGCTCCATTGGAGAACAGGTTAAATGTTATTGTTTATTACAAATAGCTGATATATTTACACATATTAAGTTTGGGACAACTCTTTAAACAGTTATAAGCAGCGGACAGAAGCCATGAATGTGCTTTTGTTTATTAAATAATTAATTTCATAGCCATATAATCGTAGAGAACGTTTTAAAATAGTTAAAATCCCTTTCAGGCAACTTGATTTAGATGTATGTCTTTAATATTGGAGAACGACTGTGTTGTTTTTGGAATTGTCTGAAATACAATACATAGAATAGTGATTTGCAGAACAAGAACTAGCCAATGAAAAATCATCTATTGCCAATGCAATTGTTACAATCAGAACTCAAAAATTGGGAATATGCTTTGGCTCAAACTACAACCAAGATTTGGAGTCACAATAGAGTGTAAAATAGATAGATGCTTTCAAAAAAAATAGAGATTATTTTTAGACAGGGTTAATATCAAACGGTAAAAAGACCATTTCCTTCATATTATGTCCAAAAGTAGTTACTTCAAAAGTAGATAAAGTTCATGAGTGTAGCCTAGATTAATGTAGCTTAGATTAATGAGATAGATTAGAACCAACAGAGATTCAAAAACATTTAAAAGCATTTTGGTGAATTTGGGTATAGCACAAAAGTAGATGTTTAGGTAGTTTTGAGAATTTTAAGAGCTGTCGATTTGTCAGCAACAGATTAGAGAATCAAAATACCGTTGTATAGGGACTAACCCCAGAGAAACCTGCTAAAATAGATTAGCTCCTGTACGGATAATACCAATTTGATTAACGATGTACATTTATCCCAAACGGTCTGAGAGAAGGAAGTGACAGCACTTCCTGGTTCAACAAAATGTATTTGGAAAAATGAGCAAAGCCCCACGAAATGGCCCAAAGCCACTGATAATGAAAGCAAACCACCAGTATAGATAGATTTATTAGATAAAAACATATGTTTAAGAATAGGGCTCAATAAAAGCAAAATAAGCAAACATATTTGTAAATAGATTAGAATAGTTTAAACTATAGTGAATAGTTTTAGTGCATACATTACAGACGAGGTTGAAGAAGAATCAGAATGACAGCAGTGGTCATCAAATAGTTTAGTGAAGGAATGGTTAGAATGTGGTTTGTTGTGTGTTGTTTGTTTTCTCTGTATTAACTCTTCACAGATATCGAGCCGGAACTAAGCACAAGTATTGATGATAAACGACGATGTGGATTGTGACCTAATTTTTAATCAGGTCAAAAGAGGGAAACTGTTGCATAATTAAAATGTTGTATACTAATGATTTTGAAAATAGGCCCTCTGAAGAATGTGCACGGGGAAAAGCCCCAAGGACAAGGATTGCAAACAGGAATAAAGAGGGTCAAATGGAGAAACTACAATCAGTCATAGAGATACCAACTTTCAAAACGGGACAAATTATTAACTCCAGGAATAAACATTCTTGTCTCTCTGGCGAGACCAAAAGTCCAAAACACCATCTGGCTAATCTCTCTCAGGCAGACTGGGAGATTCTCCAAAGGCATTCTGACGCCTCCCAGTGGACACGGGACGCCAGCACACCCGAAAAGAACATTCGGGAGACGCCCACAAGTGACGTCATCAGACGTCTTGATAAAACTGTTGGTTTGAGTTCTGGGGGGAGGATCAGCCGAGGGCCAGAGAAAGGGACATATTAGTTTTAGGAGCACTTTTTGTTGAATATTCTGTATCTGATTGTAAAGATAATTAAATGCAGATGTTAAACGTGAAGATCTCTTGTCTCGCTCTTGCATCGACTTTGGATACGTCAGTCAAAGGGAATTATTGACTTCAATGTGTAAAAAAGTTTAAAAAAAGCTGTACCAAAGCTAAAGGCAGGCTGTATTTTAAGTCTTCTCAAATCTAATCTAGTCATTGTGTTATGAGATGTTCATTGTTATTCCCACCATTTTTTCCCACCAAGTTTTATCCCCAGGATGGCTGCGTTCATGTTATTATTATAGATCCATGGTTCATTGCAGTCTCCGCTGTTAGCTTAACGCTACGGAGCTCCCTGGAGAATGAGTCCAAACTTTTTGTTGTTTACAGCTCAACAAATCACTGAAATGACAGTTAAG